AAAAAAAAAAAAAAATTGTAGTATTAACTTTCCACTTATTTTATTGTGTATAATTAACATTAAATGTTATTAATTTTTCCGCTTTGATTTAGTTCATTTAATTTTCAGAAATTTGTTTTTAAAATGTTAAATAAGAATATAAACGTTTCAAAATTTCTCATTTTATTTTTTTAACTCTTATGTTAAGAGACAATAAATGAAATTGAACACAACCAACTTTCACCTTATTCCTACTTTGAAGATTATTTTATGATTCCTACTAAATTACCTATGGATTATGTTAAATTTGTATTGATACTCCCTATTTGATGGTAATATAGTTTTCAAGTCGATATAAATATAGCTTTTTCTATATGTGAAGGATCAAAAATGCGCTTTTGCATAAATTCAAGGTTAAATATGCTTAGTGAACATTGTAAAAACTAAAATTAGAATTTATCAATAGCTAAGGAATAAATTAAAATTTATCAATAACTGTAGGATCAAAAGTGCATGATATATACCAAATAGGATAAGCTAAATCGACAGAATAACATAATCATGTATTATCTTGTACATTTCTATCATCTATTAAATTAAGGAAAATCTCTACCTTGTTATTTAGAAATACTATTATCTTATCAAAACTCTATTCATCATGTGTAGTTGCAACAAAATATTTCGGGATCAACCATAAAAATGAAAAGATTGGATCAAAACTCTATACAATTTTGGGAAGGTCCTCATATTATTAGAACATATCTTCACACATAATATGATATTTATTAAGCGTATTAGTTGCATAAAGTCAAATTTTAATAAGAGACCTTATACTTTTTCTATTAGTACACATACATACCCATATGCAGAAAAAAGTTAGTGTTGCCATTTTTTCATGCTTATTATTTATAAAATAACATTCTTAAATGATATAGCCTTTAGCTTCACATAGTAGTATTATTATTCATATTAGTAAGAGATAACTTAGATAAATAAGATGTTAGATATGTATTTTTAATATGTTACCTTTGATATTGTTGTAAAAAACTATATTTACTAATATAAACATTTAAGCAATTTAATTCAAAGTTCGAAAATATTTTTACTGTTAAAGAGTAGACATTTTTTCTTTCTTTCTTTTGTCCAAGATATTTTGTACTTTTTTTTTTACAAACTTTAATATTGTCTAACTTGAAATAAAATCATCAAATCTATTGTTGAAAATTTTTGGAGACATAAATCAAAGTTTTACTAATCTTCTACTTGAGCCACATGTACACCCCTGACATTCTAAATTTTATAGAGTCTCAATTAAGATAACACAACAATCAGTGAATGCGTTATTTAGTTACCAAATGTAAATGAAGTTGGTTGAACAATACATTCACGGGAGAATGATCTATAAATAATTGTTAATCATTAATTTGGGAGGCTCAACGGAACTGGTGGCTTAAAATTAAAATATATTAAAAGACCCTGAATTTTTTTTCATAGAATCCATATAATATTAAGACAAAAAAAAAAAACTTGGTTTTGATCTAGTGGTGAGAGAGCAACGTATAATGTGTGAATTAGGGACACGTCATATGGTATTGAACTCTCCCCTATACAAAAATATAGTATTAATTGAAAATGGTAAAAGTGTTGAGCCTATTATCCATCATGTCTTGAACCTTACAACATTTCTCCTGGGGATTTCTTAGTTTAAAAAAAAAATGAGATACAAAAGAACTTGCTTTGTGATGTGTGGATAAATCAATTGTGACAAAAAAAATAGCTAATTTAGAGAACCTGAGTTGAGAATTGAAATTAGAAAGTAAAATAGTAAAAAAATGTGAAAAAAGAAAGAAAGAAAGAAAAAGAGAATTGATAAGAAGATAAATACATTATTTAATTAGTGAAAAAAAAGTATTATCCTGTTAACTCATTCAATCCTACCTTTACCAAATTTAAGAAAATATTAGAATTTAAAATATTTTATCAATAATTGTACAAATATAAATTACATATATATTATATAATGATATAGTAGTACTTTATATTTTTTGGGACTTAAATATTTGAGGGACTAAGGCAAGAGGTTCACTTGCCTTACCCTAAAGCCGCTCTTGATTAGAGTTTAACAAATTTTTACAGTTATAAATTAAAAGCAGAAACAACAACATTATAGAAAGTATAGCCCCAACTTATTAAAACAGATAGGAAGAACAGAAAGGGGGCGAAAAATACTATATACTATATTGTATTATTTACCAGAGTGCCACGTATATATAAAATGTTGCTCCAACAATTAAATAAAGACTAGTTTAACTCTTCTAAATGTAAGACTTTATAATTTACTAGATAATAAGTGAATGCAAAATATAATATTTCAAAAAAAAATGAAAAAGAAAAAACTTTTCCAAATCAATAATGAACATTCTCTTTTGAGATACCACTAGTTTTTTTAACCCTCTGAATCTTAATTCCCATATGTGAATTTCAAGCATCCCAC